ACTGTATTGAATTCCACATTTTCAACCTTAACATATATTGCGAGGTGAGAAAAAAGGATTAAGCAACCATATCTCAACACATCTGAAGTGGACTAGTAGCACCTTCATCGAAAAAACTCTGATGTAAACTCACCTAAAGAAAGCCTCCTGAGTGAACTGCATTGAGCATTCAGGACATCGTTTTTTCATGGACTCTTCATGAGTTCCAAAGTGTGACTCTAACGACGCAACGCTGTCGAAGCTATTTTCACCACAGTGAGGACAAACTACTTCTATATCTGAAAATGATGACTGAGTGAACTTCTGTGCAGTCGGAATGGTAGAAGGTATTCACCTTTCACAATTGATGTCATCGTTTGGAATTCGTAGCCGTAATTTTTGAGAGAGCTCCACTTCAGAGTAAATAATAAGTGGAAGAATTTTTTCGAGATTATGCAGCATCTGTGAAGTGAATTTTGCATAAGAAAATTATGAGCATAGACAATTCCGAGAACAATTAATTGGATTACATGAAATTTGACTATTTCGTCCCAGTGTAATATAGAGGATTCTCCAATGTAAGTAGAGGAAATGAGAAGCTGGGCTCCACAATCTGCACAAACCATCAACATGAACGCATTCTTCATTTGAAGCTGAAGCATCAGAATTAGGCAAAGTGAGCAGTAAATGAGAAGACGTTCCGAGCATCAGTAACTAACTTACTTCAACATCACCTGATGGAGTTATCCTTTGCACCAATGCTGTGGTGAAATCTACACAGCCATCGTGCGTTTTGAGGGCTTCCAATGACAAAAATACTATTCCACAAAAATGGCAAGCATATAAATGAGCACAAGAGTGGTGTTCCAGCATGTGCGCCTGCAAAAGATTACGATCGCCAGTGCAACTGCCAAATAACACTCATGACTATCGAAAAGCTCTTCAAAATTCGAGATAGATCGAAGCTCCTCTAGCCCAGAGATTTTCCTCGCTTTAACTCGACTACTGTTGGTTCACATGTACACCGCCATTAATCAAGATCAGTATAATCTGCATATTAAAAACTTCCTCAGATATGGAAGTCAACTTGGAGCGGAGTTGTGGAATAATGGAAACTGCAATCCCAACTCTGAGCACTATTTGTCACATGCAAAGGGAGCAACTCTGAACATCGCAGCAAGTTCTAGCACTGGCCAGTGGTAAGTGTGCGCAACTCTTAGAAAAAAGTAAAAGTTTTGGATATGTCTAATTTATATCTGCAAACTTGTAGGATTGCGCTCTTGCAAAATGGTAATTGAACTGATAACATGTATTTCAAATGTTTTTGATCCGTCCAGAAATGGTGTTTTATTTCACTGATTTATTGCCATCAACCTTCTTTTTCATCAAGGAGCAGCATGCCAAAAATCGTAATCGGATTATGGATAAAGCATCGTCTGCGAAGGGCTTTAGTGGAAACTTTCCGTTTGAAAAAAGTCATTGTTTAAGACAAAACCTAATACCCAACATTTGAGAAATCCCTTGCCAAAAATAGGTGTTCGTGAGGACAGCTTGGGACTTATGCAGCCATTAGGACAATGGACTTGACTAGAGGAAAGCTTTTGCATTAAAGGAGGATCCACAATCAGAACCAAGGGGGAAATTGCTTAAAATTCAGAAACCAAACGGGGAAAATGCTCTTAAAATTAGTTGGGAGTAAGGCGGACCTCCTGAGGGTGTTGACCGACGCGCAATTGGCAGCGAAAGATTTGACCTCGGCGATCTAGCATGGCTCACTCTGGCGCAGTTGGCGGGTACTACCGACTGTCTAATCACTCGCCGCAGGTCTATACGCGGCGAGCGATTAGATAGCAGAGAGAGAGAGCGTAGATGTTGAGGGCACAGCGACGAGAGTCGCATCACGTTCGCTGCTTTCGTCTGCAGCACTGGGCCACGCGAAAAATGACTACTTTTCGAAAACATGTTGGTCTGATTCGCCGATGTCGCCAATAATTTACATCCACAAATACGTTTCACTTATTCTGTTCCCGTACTCCAATTGTCTGCAGGCATAGAATCGTCAACCAAGAAGTCCGTGAGCTGCCACGCCCCCCGCTCGCCACGTGCGGCCGATCGTGCGTTGATGGGGAGATGCGCGTTCTTTCAGAACTGATGTGTCGTCTATACCACGTATACGAGTATGGATCGGCAAAATCTTCATAGCTCTCTGCTCGTTCTCTCCTCTTGTGACTAGTAAGGTATGCTCTGTACAGTGTGACACTGAAAGTGGATAGACTGCACTCCAGCCGAACTGAGATATCCGTCCGCTTGTCACATATTCATTGTTTCTATTCATTTTCTTACCACGCATGAATCGCAAACACTTGGTGTTCTTGGCGAATTCCAGAATTTAAGAAATTTGAAATTTCTTCTTCTTAAGAATGACATTCCCGGTTTCTCTTAAGTTATACCTTGAATACTTTCACATTCAAATTCTAACTTAACAGATGTACGTGTTATTATAAATGAAAGAAATTTGTTTTAGTGTACCAAAATTCAATGCTCTTCCCAATCCCGCTTATTAATGATATGATAGCCGAAGTACTAACGCATGTGCTTTCACGGAGCACAGCCAGAGCTGACGCGCGCTCACTAAGTTTCCTCCAGGTGGGAGGAATTAACGATGCTGATGCAATAAAAACCGCGTTTGCAGTGCAAGTTATAATCTTTACAGTGGTGCGCCAAATTACGCGACGACTATGATGCTCCCCCGTTGCGCGAGTGGACGGCAGACAATTTGAATCTCGATATCCTTTTCAAACCGGCGGGTTACTGCTGTCTTTCTTCTTGTCTCTAGTTTGTGGTAACCTTGGTGGGGTGTTAGAATTGTTTTCTGCTTACTTTCTTTTGTTCAAAGCCACTTGAAAATGTCTATGGTTACTGCCAAGCGGTTGACTGATGTACTTGACTCACCGTTCCCTAAATCATTGGACTTCCGACGTTGAGGGTTTTTGGCACGCGACAATTATCATCGTTTTGGTGTATACCCGAGCACTATCAATAGATGCTCCAAATGGTACAGGGGACAAGGAGCTGAATGCAGTCATTCTGGATGAGAAGGGCGTGTTTCTGTGGCGACCACGAACAATCTAAGGATTGTGTGCGATAGAATTTGCAGGTAGTTGACGCGCTGGTTTCACTGGATGTCACGAGAGATAGGAATCTCAGGGGGCTCTTGGACTTATCAAAAGCCCGTTTATTGCTATCCATGAGTTATTTTCACTTTGGAAAATCGTTGTCTCCGGGGCTTCCATCCCGTAGGCTGTCCTGGTTTACAGGAGTGTGGGTGGTTCGAGTATTCTAGTCGGCAGGCATTGCGCAGAAACCGAGTTTTTTTGTCGTTATTCTGTTGTCGCGTAATACGCGTGTATTAATACTGCGATTTGCAGTATCTGAGCGTCGTATAGGGTACGGAGTTCGGATCCCTTCTTTAAACGCGAGAGGCTTCGTTCGCATTAATAACACATTATTGTCCCTAGGGATTGGTTGAACAGAAAAACCGCTTCCGAAATGAGCCTTGACCGAAGTCCTATTCTCCGCCCACATTGGCCCGCTGCCACAGGTCGATTCCTGGTTCCTCGATGTTGTTTCTGAGGACTCCGTATTAAACACAATAAGCCTGAGGAATTCGAACAAATTCTTACTGTATGTAACGGGTTACGATCTTCACAATGTTGATCTTGTGCTTATTTATCTGCATTTTTTTGTTTTTCAGCAAGAATTCGCGCAGCCTTTGCTCATTCCTAGCAACTCTGGATAAGCTCGCTGTTCCCGTTAAGTTATGTGCGTGACCTGTAATATCCGCGGCTTTATTCGGCATATCCTTTCTGGGGCTCTCTGAATGCAATTGAGAATTGAAATCTTTCTTGTCCACTGGATATTTCTGTTGCTTTTCCGAGCAATAAAAATCTTGTGTGACCCAGTGCAAAAAAACAAGAGCTGTGGCGAAGCCGCCAGCACCATATTTGTAACTGGTTATATGTGCGACAAAACGCTGGTTACAGAACCTATCCCAAAAATTTTGCCGTGATGACTGCCACACTAGGTTAACTCGAAATAATTTTCTTAATATTTGACTAAATGGCAGGAATAAGACTAAAAGCAAACTGACTGCTCGCTTCCATGAGTAACCGACACTGTACACTTCCTATGATAAGTGTTTTGACACAGAACATATCCCAAAAATCTTTTATATGACTACATTCCAAATATCAGCGTGTTGAGAGCATGTGAGAAGAGCTGAGTCACGGTTGCGCATTCGAAAATACCTCAATAGTTTGGTCTACGCAAATAGCAAAAGTCGAGAACTCTTCCTTTACTCCATTCTTTTCGACTTCAGAAAAAAAAATACAAGTTTTGTCCAGGAAAACACACCGAGTGATCAGAGGCAAAAGATCAGGTTCACCTTACTGTGTGGCTTTTTCGTCTCCTTTTTTGGTTCGGCTACCGCAACGTGTTCCAGAAGGTGAAAATGTGTTTGTCCCAAATAATCGCGCTGTTCAGGCAAAGGCCGATGTGAAATAAACCTGGTACATCCCTAGCGAATTGAAGACATTTCATTTAGTTATACGATCATACAAGCCCAAAAGCGATAGTCATGGCATTACTTAACGGTCTCCTGGAATACCTGCCTCAGGGGGGGGGGGGGCAAAAAAAGACATTTTGCCTATGTCGGACTTCGGCTCTTTTTTCTTCGCAGAGATTGCTGTCGTTGACGGGAGTTCCTCAGCAGAGTATTCCCTAAGTGTTCCCTCTATAGTGTACGCAGGCTCTCCTTCACTGCCCTCACCGTCTTCAGAATATGACGTCATCTGTCACCGTCGTCAGGCTCAAGGAGGTCTACCGTAAGAGCTTCAGCCTGAAGCTCTTACGCAATTTCGTGAATCGATTTAATGTTGGATAGTTTTCTAGAGGCATTAGCTACCACTGTGCAAATCCCCTCGGAACTAGCTTTCCAGTAAGGGTCGTTATGGTACACGATCCTTCGAAGACCCCATTGAGCTCGACCAGTGCACCATGTTTCCAGGGCAAATTCTTCTGATGCCGTCCACGTAGGTGGCCACTATGAAGATTTTCTTATAGAATGGAATGCGCTCTTCAATAATAAGTTGGAACCATTCGGTCTGAATTGAGCAAAATGTGCTTAAATCCATCTGGAAGTGGAGACAAAATGTCTTTTTTTTATTGCCCCCCCCCCCTGTATATATGAACAGCTACAATATAAGCTAGTGAAAGTGACTGTATCCTTGCTCCGAAGTAGAACACGTAGGGTTCAACAATTAGAAATTCCGCTGAACAGTCATTCACAATCACAGTCATCGGAATGCTCAGAAAGTCCCACGCCATTAGTACATCCGATATCTGGCAATGGACACGCCCACCCGCCGCGCCGTCGTGGCCACGCCTACTAGCGCGGCGATGCATCGATTCTGTTGACGCGGAGCCGTAGAATAGCTCCACGAAACGAGTACCTTTCCTTCATGATTAGGATGATAATCTTCTTAGTTGTACGGCTCGTTTAATAAAAGAGTGCGCAATCACAAACTCCATACAAAGGGTCGCTGGACTTTCCTAAACAACCCAGTACAATGAAAGAAACTTCATTCGT